GCGTGACATCTTGGGCATTGTTGGTGCCAAATTTTGAGCCGCTTGGTATATAATGACAATTGAAAAAACAATGTGAGCTCTCAATGTGGCCTTATATGGGACAGGTACATTTTTTCTTATGTTCTGGTTCCCACCTAAAGGGATATATATCCTGTAATGTTCAGAGAACATCGTGAGAACCAAGGGAAATAAGATAGGAATTGGTGTTCTTCTTAAATTTCTGGAGGTTATATGCCTCAGGGAACACCTCCCTTGGAAATGTGTTCCAGAGCCTCACTGTTCGTTGAATGAACGAGTCTTTGGGAAGAGATGTTCTGCAGGTCTCCAAAGTGACCACGAGGGGCGCGAAGCCTCAACTCGACGGGTTAATCTCGCGGGGACTACCAAGGGAGGAACAATTGTTGAATATTTAATAAATCTTATCCGATATAAGTCTTTCCTGACCCATTGTAGACCTCGACCATGATTTCACTCTCTTACTTAAGTGTAGAGAATGATCTTTCAGCACTTGACACACTCACCGGCTTAGCAGAAATTATCTGCAGAAATGGCATACGGCAACGCTGTGAAGTATCTAAGCATTTTTCTTCTGGTAAATCATAAATATAGTTCAATTTCTGGTTTCTTTCCATATATTTTTCCAAAGATCTATTTCCGATTGCAACAAATCTGACAAAAATGTTGGGGAGGGGAATCATTTCTAAATTCACAAACCTATTTAGAAACTTGTTTTTCTAGAATCTTTGAATCATTATCCCACTGGTATAAAACAATAACAAGTATCAATCTGCTGATACCTGAAATTTTAAATTCATTATTGATTATTGTTCCTACATACTTTACAATTTTACAATTCTTGTGATTTCAGTTGGGGGTACTCTCCCCAGAACCCCCCTCATTATCTACGCTGATGCTGGGGTTTTGGATAAAAGTGTATAAGGCACTTTCGGCTTGAAATTGTTCAGGGAATATGCCCTTCAACTATGGGCACCGAGTCACAGAAAACCCTGTATATGAATTTATAACTTGATTGATTGATTACTCGCGCACCATGGGTTTCAAAATATTTGTGACAATTTCAGAACATGTCATTTCCATGTCAGCATAATAATATATTAGGAAAGACGGTAGATCGTCTCGGAATGATTATCAATTTAATAGTGAGCGGAAAGAATTCCTTCCAGCTGATTCGAGCCCGATATTTTCGATCCCCTTGGGGGGGCTGAAAGGCAGGTCTGTCTCTACGGGGAGCAGGCGCCGTTAAAATACACGCCACTGCACAGAAGCCGAAATCCTCGGATATCCAGGTACCACTTCGGAGATGCCTAACTATATAACAAACAATTTCTCAGCGAGGGAAATGAGAATTGAGAGGGGATTTTATTCGAAGTGATTAGCCCTCTGAAACATTTATGATACTGATTTTCCTACGAGCATGCGGAAAGGTAACTTTTCCGACGACCTCGTATTAACGACTAAGTTTAATGTATATGAAATCGTTCATTAATGACCCCTATTAATGGACGATTTGTCTATTAATGCACGATTGTTTTATAGGCAACCAAACATACACCGCGTGCATTCATTGTTTATGCTATAACTAGCGGAATCTGCATTTAAATCGAAAATATAGATTTCATCGACGATTTTCCGTTAACGGGTTCGCCTTTCCAATTTTCTGACGCGATTTTAATCCCTGTTTTCTAACACAATGAATTTATTTCCTATGTTGATCATTTCGACAAATGTCAAATGACACTTATGTCAGTAACAAGGCTACTGGGTGATTCTTAGCACTTTCCGGATGGATGATGAATTCGCGAACCAAGTTTTCTTCATTGCAGGAGAAATGATTGATAACTATAGTCGACGGAAAAATTTTGTAACCAACTTGTATATATAAAGGCGATTAATACACTAGTTGGTTAAATAGCTATTTCCGTCGACCTCGTATATTAACGACTAAGTTTAATGTATATGAAATCGTTCATTAATGACCCCTATCAATGAATAACGATTTGTCTATTAATGTACGATTGTTTTATAGGCAACCAAACATACACCGCGTGCATTCATTGTTTATGCTATAACTTACGGAATCTGCATTTAAATCGAAAATATGGATTTCATTGAAGATTTTCTGTTAACGGGTTCACCTTTCCAAGTTTCTGACACGATTTTAATCCCTGTTTTCTAACACAAGAAATTTATTTTCTATGTTGATCATTTCGACAAATGTCAAATGACACTAATGTCAGTGACAAGGCTACTGGGTGATTCTTAGCAGTTTCCAGATGAATGATGAATTCGCGAACCAAGTTTTCTTCATTGCAGGAGAAATGAGAACTATAGTCGACGGAAAAATTTTGTAACCAACTTGTATATTAAAAGGCGATTAATACACTAGTTGGTTAAATAGCTATTTCCGCATGATTTTTCGTTTTGAAAGTTGTACTTTTCCGAACGATTTTACTTTTCCGCATTACTTTTACTTTTTCGCACGATTTCGAAGGAAATACCAGGAGACATGTGGTGATAACTGTTGGCAACAGAAGGTACCCTTAGCAACAGTCGCTATAAACTGACAGTAGATGGCATCAGTCAACAAATAAGCATTTCTGACCAATCTACCTTCCTTCATTCACTACACTAGTAATTCTCAGCAACAAACTGACCAAAGCATTTCTGTTTAGTGGGCCAAACACTAACCAATCAAATTCAAATAAGAAACGACGTTCTCCAAGATGTGCGGCATCTGCTAAATTACAGCATGCAACAAATACAAATTGCCCTCTCAATTTCAATATTGACCATCGATAATGTTTTAGTTATTGTTATTTGAATGTTTTTCAAATATAAGTTTCCTATTATATCGATGAAAGATAAATCTATTTCATTATTTTTCAGTGCATGATATAATATCATGCGGAAGAGTTACTTCACTGCACTATAGTGCTGAAAAGTTAGTTTTCCGCACGATTTTTGTATTGTTGGAAATAAGGATATTTAGGACTAACTAAATGATCCATGTAACTATTCTGTCTTATGTGTCATTTTGTTGCATTATTTTAAAATATTGTTCATTAAGAACCTTGTTTTTCATGAATAATATAAGCAGAACCACTCATAGGAAAAACTTTGTACCTAGCTGCCGTCGCGTGCGGAAAAGTACTACTTTCCGCAGTTGTTAGGTAAATAACTATTTTTTTCTCCAAGTAATGTAGAAAGTGGCTTTTCTCTGACACTCAACAGGCATACAGATCTATGGGCATATATACACTCTACCTAGGCACCAGGAAAAGTTTGTTGCAACGTTCCAAGAAATTTGATTGGTAATCAAAATTGACATTGGATGAACAGATAATGATGGATTTTTCAATACAAAATTACACATTTGGAGAAAAAATCCTATATATGTTTCATACGGCAGCGAATGCAGACTGACTGCCTTGGCTGAATTCCTATAGCCTTGCTACTACTTTACTGTCTAGTGAAACAAATAACTATTTCACTATTGGCCTTATTGAATCACACCATCATTTATTATGAAAAATAAAATATCTACAACATTATATATTGTTTAGAAAAGTGTAAAGGCGTATTTCGGCATATAATTTACTAATCTCATTCCTTAGTGAAATTTATTCTGAGATATATTCTCCAAAAAGGTCCAATCAGAGTGATTGTGAAAATTTCCATTGACGATATCTTATTTTTACCTATACCTCTCACTTCTCTATACACACTTCCACGGGAAATGTTCCTCAGAAATCTCTGCTATAAATCGATCACTAGCAATACCAGTCAGACCAACTCGCCAGACCCAGTCAGCACATTCCTCCGTCGTTAACCTACCAAAACTCCTTCGTCTATAGAACGGCGAAGCTTTGAAATTCTTTGCCGGTGGAAGTATTCCCAAGCTCGATGTTTCACGAACATAATAGGAATTTCTTTTCGTGCGGCAAAAAATATATAAAAAAACTATAGTTATTTCACGATTCAGAGAATGGTTTTGGGTCAATGACCATCGTGTTAAAGAAGATGAAAAAGTTTGGAGCAATATATTGCTACTATAGTAGGGATGTCTAAAATCTTGATTCATCAAATAATCTATATTGAGATTGATTATTTATAACATGAATTATCCAAAGTGATAAGGTGCATTACATTAGTTCCATGGATATTTGGGGCAACACTTAATTCTCGACTTAATTCATCAAACCAATTATTATCTGAATTAAGCAATATGTTCTTTGAATCTTGTGCCGATGCTCGGCATATAGAGAAATAATCTTCATGAAACCACTGAGAATGGCAACTTATAGTTGCCGTTATAGGTATACGTACGTATTTCTCCAAACATTCACTTAATCGTTTAAAATGTTTTCAATGTTATTTTCAGGTTAGCTGATTTTACCAAAAAACTAGATTTGTTTTTTCATTGTTATTTCGCCGATATACTTACTATACATATTGTTATTTTGATGCGATAAAATCTTTCATTTTGGCCATCATCGCGGATAATTTGATAATTGATAATAATAAAGATAAATTCATTGATCATGATGGATGATGGAATCATCAAGGAAAAAATCTCATAATTTTGTTTGCATCGTCTCCCCTTTGGATTCTCAAAATCATGGAAATTAAAACAAAATCGAATCTATATTGAATATAAATAACATATATTTCTCATAAAATATTTCATATTTTACAAAAATACCTACCATACCGCGAAATTAAAAACTATATCAAGCAGTCTATAGGTAAGGTCCATTCTGTAAAAATCTCGGTAAAAATATTCGAATTCATTAGAAGACTGAACTTTATAGTTGAAGGTACGAATATTAGCAGGTCAGCTATTTTGTATAGCTACAGAATCAACCTAAGTTATATATATAATTGAAAAATCACAGTCTGTAGTTGAATTTGTTGTTTCTTTTCAAGTACATTTCCGACGATAGCGAATAGTTACAAATAATATTAATGGCTATCGACGGCCGACGTTAAGAATAATTCAGTGAACATACCTAATATACACCTTAACAAAATCATTGAATAATTGGAGAGTCAACACACTCAAAAGTCACATGAGTTCGAAAACGAAATACCTATATACAATTATACAAATCACCACCAAATATAGATTGTAAAAATTCTGAAATCTCAGTTCTTTCTGAATATGAAGAATGTTACCTAATTCAGACGAAAATAATAAAAGAATTTACACGAAAAGTACTTGCAAACGATTTCATATGTTGCTTCTATTCATATCATTTTATGCAATGAAGAGGTACTTACAATCATTCATACATTTCCCAAAATTACAAAACACTACAACTTTTCAAAACATCTAGAATTCGTTAACATTTCCCTAGTCAGTCTCCACACTTGTTTTGAAGCATTTTCTAGAGCACTGGGCGATTTCCCTTTGAACAAGTCCAAATTAGGCAGAAAATAATGCGGGCACCTCTTGCACTGCAAACAGGATATCAGTTGAAGAAAAATACCGTTGATCCTGTCTGCTATACAAGCTTCATCCCATTCTCCTTCTCTAGGATGTTTCTCGCACTCATATAACAATAAAGTTTTCATGTGATAGCTTGCAACGGGGTTACCAGGGAGGTCTAAATGACGGTCTCTAAGGGTTTTCAGTACACTCAAACATCTTCGTCTGCACCCACCTTGGAGCAACCGATTTTCAGCCTCCAAAAATGAAAGAGCCCAAGCATCGCCTTCCATGGCCGATTGCTTGCCTTGCAGAGCTATGCACTCTTTAGAGAGCAAATCGAAACCTTCAGTCTTCACTTCAACGACGTGGTTAGGATGCGGCCATGGTATTTGGGGTAGAGGCCAATGCGACGCGCTTCTCGGCCATAAACCAGCACACTTGAAAGCTGGAGTGATTTGCACAATGTACCTTTCACGTATCCTCAGCTTCACTTCTGTCGTATCAGCTATCATCTTAACACTGTCTCTGTAGGAGCACTTGTCACATGCTTGTGCCACTAGGGTTTGGAACCGCGACCGCATTTTTCTAGCGGAGAGGTATCCCGAGGCCGTAATAAACTCCACCCACAAGGACATGGACCTCTTTCTGCCGTCGCTAAGTTTCAGGACCGCACAGCCCGGTAAGGTACCGTCGTCGACGAAGTTCAGAACGCCCATTTGGTTCAGGTAGATGACAACTTCGAACTCCACAGGCGATATAACTTCCAGGCCATCGAATCTGCCATTGTAGTCGGTGAGGGAGGAGATGAAGCGCGGTTCTTGCACTTCTACTTCCTTGAGGACATCTTGCACTACCCGACAAACCTCTTGTATGGTCTTGGATATCTGCAGCTTCCTAGCTTGGACTTTTTCGGTGTAGTATTTGTTGAGCTGGTAGACCATCTTGGATTGTGCTGCCAACATATCGGGCGGCACTAACATCTTAGCAGTTTCGAGGCTTCTAGAGCCCAGTTTTTCCGCCGGTGCCACTGTGATGGTGATGTCGTCTTCGGGGAGAGTAGGGGAGGTGGTGTTTTTTCCGGTAACACTCACTTTTCTTATCCGCTGGAAGTATTCTCGAGTCCGGTAAGCCGCGTGACGGATCGAGTAGGGCTGTTGTAACGACACTGTTGTTTGTTATGTGGTGATAAAGAGCCGTTGAGAGCAGGTGAGAACGGCTCCGCCTAGAGGGGAAGGCATCGTGAGCGGCAACGCCTTCTAGCGGCTGCCAATAGCGGCGTGCGCATTGCCAGGTATTGGATCGCGATTTCCGACGGGTTGACAAGGTATGATGATGCTTGAATGAGGAAACGGTGACAGCTTAGTGATTGAGAGGTTAATTTTGATATGGAGAACGAGAACGTGTTTTTCGGGCTGCGTTGGATATGGGCGTTAGTTCATTAGTTGGGTAGTTTGTTCTAGTCGGCCGTTAGGTTAGGAAACATTTTAATTGAATAAAATGCGAGGCACGTTTCGCCCGTTCTTTTATAATTTGTTGAATAATAATCATTCAATTCACTAGATGGCATATCATACAGGAACACCTGTTGAGCCATTAGGATAACTCATCGATTATTTTTTCAATTCTAGTCGGAAAGGGATGTAACCTCTTCCTATATCATTTATATGTATAATCTGCAGTGGGTAGTGCCAATATAGTATAAGTAGAATACAATGCCTATAACCTAAGGTTCTTCAGACATGATGGAAACTTGCGAGGCGATGGATCATTCAGGAAATGAGCCCATATAGATATCCTCCCGAATAATGCTCCCGCCCTTTCTCTTCTGGGCTCGAGAGTAAGATGGATTAAACATTTGGCACACAGAAGTTGAACCAAAGGATTATCATAAGAGATAATAACAGTGAAGAGAAGTAGAAGCTGATTTTGAGCGGAAAGTAGCGCAATCTTATCGAATATCACCCCTTTGATTGCATTTGACAGTTTGACAGTTCACGATGCGAAGACTATAACCTATAGAAGGAACCAAACAGGCAAAGGCAGATAATAATATGGACTAAGTCTAAGGTCTGAGTGTTTGTGTATATATAAAGATATAGTATATAGATTTTCCTGTGGAAGCAATTTTAGTATACACACGCCTGACTCGAATCATTTTTCTATATACCGGGTGGCATTGAAATAAGTGCAAATATTTCAAACACTGAGAAAGCTCATGTACTATCGAATGGCACTAATAAAAAAGAATTAGGGATCACAATAAAATTTGAGGTTAGAACCCTATTTCCACCCAATGTTCTACACTGTAGCAAATCTGACGACACCTCTGTTCAAATTTCCATGCGTAGTGGCGTACTTGATTTTTTTCTTGTATTTCGTGAAATTTTTGGGATGAAATTTCTCGTTAATCAGAAGAATTAGAAAAAATCTGATATCATGGGAATATTCCTCAGACTGTATCATATTGATGTGCTGAATATTTGCACTTAATTCAAAAACACCTTGTATAGAGAATAGATACTGGTATTGAGATTTGGAAAAACCTAACCTTATTCTTAAAATAAGTGATATGATCGAATGCGAGCCATTTCCATGCCCGAAAGAGTATAAGGATAGTATATTCACAATTATTCCATTTGACGTACCTTATTCAGATACGGTCAACTCATTTGGCGAAATAACATTTTAATGGCCTTTTTACCTGTCCAAGACGAATTTTATATTTGGTCAGTTCTACTTAGTTAGTTATTTGCAAAATACACAATCTAGAAGTTCGGTTCCCTTTTATATTATGAACACGGTACAGTGTTCAACTATTCTCGTATTTTCAAACAGTTCATTCAAGATTATCAACATTCTCTAGCATCCGCACTTGCACTCGAATCAACGCGTTTGCGACACGTGCAATCGAATCCATCGCTATTCTAGTCCGTCGCTCATTCACAGTGCCTTCGCAAAACGGACTTGCAAATCCATCGTTATTTTAGTCAGTCGCTCACTCTCAGTGCGCGTCTTCGCGACACAGACAATCAAATCCATCGTTGTTCGACGCTGTCCGTGTCGCTCAATGTCATTGCACACTCGATACCGTAATTAATTCAATCATCAACTAATGGTGGATTTATGCAGCAATCGTAATCGCAAATCTTGGTCGCAAATCTTCCTAAGTCCTAAGAAAATTATCTAGGTATTGAATTTAAGTATTTTGAAATGATATTGCGCAAAAACTTCTCATGTGATAATATATTATTATCAGGATTAGATTTTTCTTAGGATTCATGCATGAAACAATGTTTCATTTCTTAGAACTTGCGACTCACGATTTGCGTCCACTTTAAATGACACTATCTTTCGTTCTTTGCTCATCTACTCGAACTAACTCACATCAACCAGCCGATTTCTGAAACTCGATAGAGAATCACTATTCATTGTTATTATAGGTTCCAAATTGTTGAAACTGTCCTTAGACTGCGCAGAATCAGGAGCACATCAGATTCAATCCGAAACAAGTCTGGGATAGTTTTGAAACCAGATAAACCAGAACGCGTTCTCCCGGCGTTTTCTTATCTTCTTTCCTGAAAATATGCTGTGTTTTGACTCACGTGGATCGAGGAAATGTTTAGGTTAGGGTTATGTTGATGTTTATATGAAATAATCCTTAAATTCAGGACCTGAACATAAACCTTCCCCACTAAATTATTCCTACACTTATACCTATATACCAAAAATGATCTCCGAATTCTTAATCTGAGTACCTACAGATTAATTCGAAACCACTTATTTTTCAGATTGGTCTTGAAGATTTCCATATACCATTTATGTCCGTTATCATCAAAAATCATTCACCTATATACGAAACTATCCCAAACAAGTTCGTATAAAACGAAAACCCGTGATCTGTGGAATACGAAACAGTTCTGAGAAAATGCGAACACTTCTTTGTCACTGTGCATGCTTCTGATGGTTTCGAACTGATAATTTTCTGAACGCGAACAAACCTTATACACTATATTATCTACTATACTCTAAATTCTTTCCACCTTGGTTTCAACTGCTTGTTCGGCTCTGTCAAAACTCAATAACCCCTCACAAAATGATATAAATAATAGGTGTACGAACTACAAACCGATACCAAAAACACCAACTTCTTTGCAAGTCGTAAAAACTTATATTTCACTACGAAGATAGTTTTGACATTTTTGTGACTACTCATAGCCTATAGTAGTTTATCCTGCTATTATTGATCTGAATTCACATTGGCAATTCAAGATTTGCATAGGGATGAAGCATGCAACAATAATGATGAGCTTTGAGTATTTATTTAATGATGATGAAACAATAAATATGCATATTGACTGTCAATTAAATGACATAATTCCATAAATATAAATAATAGCGATATAATATGGATAGATATGTATACAGCCATAATGTTCAGAGAAATTTGATTTCCAATCCCAATATTCCAATTCAAATATTACACTGAACTATTGCATATAATCAATTTCGATTTTGACACATCAATATTGATAATCTGAGGGGTTCCAGCAAGGGTCCATTTTGTGGCCTTCCATGTGTCTCCTCTATGTTAATGCTCTCTCATCCGCTCTGTCTAGCTCTAATGTCCATGTAGAATAGTTCAGTTTGCCTCAGATATGTCAGCTATCATCACATGCCTCAACATACAGGAGATCTCATATTATGGGTCACCATCAGGCATCGCGCAAAATAATTATGAAAGACTGGGTGTAGCATTAGGTAGCTCTTAGAAAATGAACACAAATAAAACTGGCTTCATGACTTTTAATTCAACCAGGAACAATATATTGAATCACCATATCTCAGAATTGAACATAGATCTATTCCCGAACGAAAGTCTATATATATATATATAAAATTTCTATAGGCATCATGATTATCGATTGTATATAGCTTGAGCTGGAATAACCATATGAATAGCTTAGCCTCTAAATTTGCCTCAATTTAAGAGAACATATATATCAGTAAGCACCCTAAATTTAATCATTTTGCGCATGTGCAATCTGTTATTTCCCATATGCAATATTGTTCTGGGGTTCAGGCTCGCATGCTAACAATATATATTCATATTACAAAAACGTATCCTGAGGTGCATTCTTATATTGAAATATGGTACCTCATCAGACAGTCGTTTTTTGTAAACATGATGGGTCACTCACTGTATAATTTCATTGTATAATCTATGATTCGTAGCCTTTGTGAAAAAATATAAATATTTGTCTAACATCAAGAATTCGGATGAATATACAAAAATATGGACATGATCACATGTAACAGAAAAATGAAGGCCTACAACAAATAACCAACAGAAGTTAAAGACATTGAATTTCCAGCTATATTCAGGATTCCAGTAATTTTTTTTCTTGCAGAAAAAATGTATTATGATTCTAATTGTTGGAAATTAGTCTTCCATACTATTTTTTTTTCTTGTTAGGGCCGGTTGCATAAAGCTTAACTTAACTAGGAATCAACTCTTCTAACTCACATCAGCTAAGGCAAACGCAGCCAAGGATATTATCAAATTAAATATTTAGGCTTTAAGCAGAAGCTGGCCCAACACCATTCTTTTGTTAGCCGCTTGATATAAACAATTCAGGTTGGTGTTGAAACATTTTTAATTTATCGGAATTTGTTTATTGATATAGATGAAAAATTTCATGTAGAGTTGGAATATCTTGAAAAACATATAAAAAAAGGTTTTATATCACTTCTGGTTGAACCGGAAATTGAAATAGATGAGTCATGTGTATAATTATGAGAATACCAACTGATAGAGGTTTGAGTCCATCGAAACTCCAACAAAGGCACAGGTATACCTATAGCTCCTGTGTCACCAAAAAATTACCTGAAAAAATTATTTGTGATTTGCTTATACCTATATTGGTACTTCGTATAGTTCAGATAGATGAATTCTTCATGCTAATTATTTGTGAGACGAAGACGAAGTATTATAGGCATATAAGTACCAACATACTCAGGTACTTATTTGAAATATTCATCTATTCAACATCGCAGCTTCACATGACATGATATTATATATATTATACAATACCTACCTATATAGTGGGGTAGTTGGTATACACACATATTTATTCATTGAAATGAAATGAAACGACAGATTT